GCCCCATATCCATTTTCTGAACAAGAGAAAACACAAGATCAAAATCAGAAATCCTAAAGTCTCAGTAACTTAAAAAGAAAACAAGACGAAACAACAAGTTTGAAATCAGAAATCCCAAAGTCTTGATAACTTGCAGAGAAAACTATAAACAAGTATCTGCAACTCAAATGTGACCAAAAGCTAAGGTTGAACATATAAGAGTTTACCACATAAGAACAATTATACCTATGAATACCACAAGGGCATATGGTACCTACCTAAGAAACTTACCAAAATACCTTCCTCAACACATAAAATGATATGTGTCATACCAGTTGACAATAAAAAATAGGATTGTAAATGAGACACTAATTAAATTTATAAAGAAACATGGATCACAACCAAAAATACCTTGTTTATTTGTCTTCTATCTTACATACCGGCGATAAATAGAGAATTTAGCGCCGAGCACGATTTTCTTTATAACACTTCGCAGGTAACCAAAATAAGCAATTGAAAGTAAACAGAAACAGCATCCCTATCATTTAAATTTGTCCCTCTTCCAAATATACCCATGATAAAATAGAAAACTTATATCCCTGACCCTTCTTCTAATTTATACAGCTAATAGGTTACCAAACTAACCCAAAAACAGCTAATAATAACATACCTCAGCTATTCAGACACAACTACCACTTCTTTTCTCTTGTTCCCTATATTTCATTAAAAACCATTTTCAAAATGCTTCCAGTAGCAGTTTTCATAAATACATGTAATTCAAGCTTACCACTAATTCAGCGACTTTCCTCTCTCTATCTCAAAATCCCATTTTTCACAATAAAACAATTGACACAACTTTTAATTTATCTCTTCTTAATTAGGAGTTAGGGCAAAACAAAAACCAGATGATGTGTTGCTCCCACACTCATCCCAACTCAACCAATCTCTCTTTCTAAACTTCTCCTGCTTCTAAAACACCAAATTCCTCAGTAACCAAACACAAATAAGCAATTCGAATGCATAAACTAGGGTTCAAAAGGAAAGAGATGATTATGAATCATTTAACAATAACGAAACATAAAGAAAAGATAAAAAAAAAAGGAATCAATCAAGAGAATACCGTTAATTAGAAGAACTCGTGAGGACAAAGGCCAGACAAGTACAGGCGACACACATCGCGATCGTAGTACTTCCGATTCACCTCCTTTACGTCACCATTACGGTTCGCACCCATCAGCACATCGAGCTGCTTCCAAAGTGTTACCGCACTTCCTAAAATGACTTGGTATTGATACTTCTGGTTACAAAGTGGTCATGAATCTGAAAAGCCCAATGCTAAAGGTTCTAAAAATTGAGATTAAGGAGATTGTGGCTCATGATCCTTTCCTGTGAAATTTGATAGTGAGTTGGTCTAATTATATATGCTTCAATCTTCTCTACAGTCTACATTTGTCTAATAAAAGTACATTGACTTGCCCACTAAACATGTGTGTTTTGTAAGTAGCAGAAAGTCTACCATATCACCCGTAAACCAGCTGACATGGTATCCCGGTACAATAACAAAAGGTTAAATCCCCATTTTGGTCCCTGAACTATTATACGGACCCTCGATTTAGTCCTTGAACTAAAGAAATCCCTGATTTGGTCCCTAAACTATTGTACGGACCCCAATTTGGTCTCACTGTTTATAATTTGGCCTAAGTTGGTCCTTGAACTATTGTACAGACCCCCAATTTGGTCCTTACTATTTACAATTTTGCTCCAATTTGGTTCTTGAGCTATTATTTAACAGAATGACCAAGTTGGGGCTAAATTGGTAAACTGTAGGGACCAAATTGGGGATCCGTATAATAGTTTAGGGACTAACTCGGGGGTCCGTACAATAGTTTAGGGACCAACTCAGGGGTTCGTACAATAATTGAAGGACCAAATTAGGGATTTCTTTAGTTCAGGGACCAAATCGGAGGTTCGTACAATAGTTCAGGGACCAAAATAGGGATTTAACCATAACAAAATGACAGGAATAGTAGACTTTCTCTTATAAGTAGAGTTTGCATAATTTTATTTTGTTCTGTTTTATTTTTTTTTTAATTTTAAGTAAGGCTCTGGTTTGTAGAATAAAAATATTGAGCAAAGGTATGACACCCCAGGGCCTTAAGCATGATTAAAGAAAAATGGGTTTTTTTTTTTTTTTGTGAGAAGTAATAAAACAATAATAAAATTAGTTGGCGTTTGCTAAACCCGTACACCTTAAGCATGATTCCTTGCTCATGCAAGATTTGTTAGCATTTTTTAACACCTTAATTGAATATTTGTAACTGTTTGTTTGTTTACAATATGCATTCCAAAACTAATGAGTATAACAGATGATGACATTCAAAATATGTTGTTACCTTGTAAATTTTAGAGTTTAATAGATATATCTATGAGATACTTAAAAGATCAAATATTTTTAAAATTTAATCTCAACTTTTATAAACTTTGTCTTTGTTTATTTTTAAATTGATGAGTTTGCCCAATTCGA